ATTCCCCCCAAAAATGGGGGAAATTTCTCTTATTTTTCATATTTCCCCCCAAAACTGATGCAAAATCCTCTTTATTTTTATTCTCTTCTGAAATGGGGCAAACTCGTCCTTTTCTTCATATTCCCCCCCAAAAAATGATGTAAATTATTTCATATTTTCCTCTGAAATGGAAGAAATTCCTCTTATTTTTCATATTTCCCCCCCCAAAAAATGATGCAAAATCCTCTTATTTTTATTCTTTTCTGAAATGGGGCAAACTCCTCATTTTCTTCATATTCCCCCCAAAAAAATGATGTAAATTATTTCATATTTTCCTCTGAAATGGGGGAAATTCCTCCTTTTCTTCATATTCCCCCCCGAAAAATGATGCAAAATCCTCTTAATTTTATTCTCTTCTGAAATGGGGCAAACTCTTCATTTTCTTCATATTCTTCCCCAAAAATGGGGGGAAATTCCTCTTATTTTTCATATTTCCCCCCCAAAAAAATTATGCAAAATTCTCTTTTTCATATTCTTTTCTGAAATGGGGCAAACTCCTCCTTTTCTTCATATTCCCCCCCAAAAAAATGATGTAAATTATTTCATATTTTCCTCTGAAATGAAGGAAATTCCTCTTATTCTTCATATTCCACCCTAAAAAAAATGATGCAAAATCCTCTTATTTTTATTCTCTTCTGAAATGGGGCAAACTCTTCATTTTCTTAATATTCCCCCCCAAAAAAATGATTAAAATTATTTCATATTTTCCTCTGAAATGGAGGAAATTCCTCCTTTTCTTCATATTTCCCCCCGAAAAATGATGCAAAATCCTCTTATTTTTATTCTCTTCTGAAATGGGGCAAACTCTTCATTTTCTTCATATTCTCCCCCCAAAAAAATTATGTAAATTATTTCATATTTTCCTCTGAAATTGAGGAAATTCCTCTTATTTTTCATATTCCCCCCAAAAAAATGATACAAAATCCTCTTATTTTTATTCTCTTCTGAAATGGGGCAAACTCTTCCTTTTCTTCATATTCTTCCCCAAAAATGGGGGAAATTCCTCTTATTTTTCATATTTCCCCCAAAAAATGGTGCAAAATTCTCTTAATTTTATTCTCTTCTAAAATGGGGCAAACTCTTCATTTTCTTAATATACCCCCCAAAAAAATTATGTAAATTATTTCATATTTTCCTCTGAAATGGGGGAAATTCCTCTTATTTTTCATATTCCACCCAAAAATGATGCAAAATCCTCATATTTTTATTCTTTTCTGAAATGGGGCAAACTCTTTATTTTCTTCATATTCTTCCCCAAAAATGGGGGAAATTCCTCTTATTTTTCATATTTCCCCCCAAAAATGATGCAAAATCCTCTTAATTTTATTCTTTTCTGAAATGGGGCAAATTCCTTCTCTTCTTCATATTCACCTTCAAAAAATTGATTAAAATTATTTCATATTTTCCTCTGAAATGGGGGAAATTCCTCTTATTTTTCATATTCCACCCCCAAAAAAATGATGCAAAATCCTCTTAATTTTATTATCTTCTAAAATGGGGGGAATTCCTCCTGTTTTTCATATTCTCCCCAAAAAAATGATTAAAATTACTTCATATTTTCCTCTGAAATGGAGGAAATTCCTCTTATTTTTCATATTTCCCCCGAAAAATGATACAAAATCCTCACTCAAGCTGTGATTTATAAAACCAAAGGAAAATTCCACGACTTCTCTGTCATTATTCTGATTATTGATCACTAAAGATTTTCCAGTGAATAATTAGATATTGATCAAATCAAGGGATGTCCCTCACCAATGATAATTAATGTAAATAATTGGGGTAAATATCCCAAATTTTAATTCCAATTTAATTTAATGACCCAGCTCCACCTGCTCTGGGCTGATTTATCTGAATTCTCATTTTCTTTGGCAGGAGCAATCCAGGAATCCAGAAAAAAATCAAAAATCCAGAAAAAAAATCAAAAATCTCCACCTGGAGAACGAGGCTGCTCTGCAGTAGGAAGGTGAGCAGATTTGTCTCGTTATTAATTAATTTCCCATTAATTAATTGGTTGATTTTGAT